AGATGTCTTAACCGTACAGTGTTTTCCCAAATGTTCTTGAGAGTTTTGCTTTTTTCTTTTAATGTGTATATTAACTTGTGTGTTTTGCCTGCATATATGTGCATGCATCATGCGCACGCTGATCTGGTGCTGGAGTTATGGACAGCTGCAAGTCTCCTTTTGGGAGCTGGACCAAACTCAGAGACCCAGTTGTTTCTGCCTCTCAAGTGTTGGGATTAAAGGGGCACATCACACACCCAGCTAAAACAGTTCTTTTTGTACTTGCAGAATTCATTGTTTTTTAATTGACTGTCTTCTAATGTCACCTTCCTGTTTCAGCACACCATGTCCAGCCCACCACACTGACTATCGTATCAGCCAGTTTTCCAAAGGCTTCTCAATAAGTACTTTCCAGTTAATGTCATATTTATTATAAGGATTCTCACTTCCACCGCTATATTCTGCTGCGTCCAGCTCATTATGTCATGGATGAAGCAGAGGAATACTAAATTTTAATTATTATTATTATTAATAATAATTTCCTGGGATCACAATGGCTTTCATGACAAGTCAGGTTTGTGTGTGGTTCTTGGGAACTCAGTTTCAGCTCCTTGTATGACAAGCACTTTTACCCAATGATTCCTCGTCTGTGGTTTTTTTTTTTCCTCTTTTCCAGTCTTTTTTCTTTTTCAGCTCTACTGTGGGGTTTTGTTTGTTTGTTTGTTGTTGTTTGAGGCAGGATCCCATATAGTGTAGACCAACTTTAAAATTAATATGTAGCTAAGAATGAACTTGAACTTTCAATTCTCTGGCCTCCACATCCCAGGCAGCTACTACTAGATTTTTATCTAAATAGTGGAACTTATAAACATAAAGATAATTTCTCATATCTAGTTCCAAATTTTCTTTGGTGATGTGTGTGTGTGTGTGTGTGTGTGTGTGTGTGTTTCTTTAATGTAACTGTCATGGTGGAAGCTACACCTTTCTGCGTCACACTCTGCCCTCTATGCTCACGGTACTTACTGTCGCCCGTCAGCCATCCCACATCATTCCTCTCCTCTGTGTTTGGCGTGGCCCCCACCTCTAGGCCTCCGCTCCCTGCCTCCTGCACTACTGTCTTAATCTCTGTGCCTGTGGCTCCTTGCTGTGCACCTTACTGGCACAGTCTAGTATTTTCTGTGCCCATTGCTCCAGAACACCCTTGGCAGGATGTCACATCTTTAACAATCTTCTGGCTGTGATGGTTTCTCAGTCACTCTCCCCTTTTCACGTTAGCTGGCCGAGTGCCTCCTCTGCTCGCTCTCTGTTGGCTTCTAGGATCTCCGTTCTCACTTAGGCCTCTGCTGCAGCACTTTCCTGATGAGTTATGTAGATTGTCTGTCTTTTGAAACCCACCACAACCAAATGGTCTTTCTGGAATGTACTTTTTCTCTTTTTTGCTTGTCCCTTGATGCTTATTTTGCAGTTCTTTTCTCTCTGTTCATTTCAAAGTTATACTACAGTTTACTAAATTCTAGTTTGATGTGGGGATTCCCCTCTGTATGCTGTGAATATCATTGGTTAATAAAGAACTGTCTTGGACCTGCACAGAACAGAATGGAGGTGGGTTGGGGGGGGGGGGAGACTAAACTGAATGTTAGGAGAAAGGAGGCAGAGCCAGAGAGAAGCCATGGAGTCGCCAGAGACAGGCATGCTGAAACTTTGCTGGTAAGCCACTGCCATGTGGTAATACACAGATTAATAGAAATGGGTTAAATTAAGATGTAAAAGCTAGTCAAAGCCAGGCAGTGGTGGTGCATGCCTTTAATCCCAGCACTCAGGAGGCAAAGGCAGGTGGATCTTTATGAGTTTGAGTCCAGCCTGGTCTACAAGAGCTAGTTCCAGAACAGCCTCCAAAGATACAGAGAAACCCTGTCTTGAAAAACCAAAAAAAAAAAAAGCTAGTCAATAAGAAGTTAGAGCTAATAGGCCAAGCAGTGATTTAATTAATACAATACAGTTTCTGTGTAGTTATTTCCAGAATCTGGGCGACTGGAAAATGAACAAGCAGCCTTCCACAACACTAATTTTAAAAATGAGAATTCAGTTTTTTTCCTAAGTTTTTCTTCTTTGATTCGAGAAAAGTTTGAGCTTCAGTTCATCCTTACAGTGTAAAAAAAATATTTACTTAGACCTGTCTTGTCCGTGGGTCTCTGCTATTGAGAAGACCTACATCTCAGCATTACAGCAAGATGCTGGGCTGGAACTTTGCATTTCAGGGGTTAGAGTACACCCTTGTGGGGAAGCGCGGCAAAGGGCTGGCTCTGCAGAGAGGCAGCAGGAGAGCAAGCAGCTGCCTGTCCCATGGTGCCAACCAGGAAACAGAGGGAAGATTGGAACAGGACCAGGCTAGAACCCTAAGGCCCAGCCCTGGGTCCATCTGTGCCAAAGGTTCCACAGCCTCCCCAAGCGGGGCCCCTAGCTAGGGATCAACTGTTGAGCCACACAAGCCGTGAGAAACGTTTCAACTAAATCCATGATAATTGCCCTCGCCCCCCCCCATAGTATATCTTCTTAGTGATTATACTCTTTAATTACATCTAATCAGAATTCTTAAATCAAAATAAAGACTTAAAACCTCTTTATAATTTTATGCGGTGTTTCAACAATCGAATAAAATTAAATTTACAAAGATAAACTTTACACATATGCCAGTCTAATAACTTACTAGCTAATGAGTTAGGTTCAACCTTTTCTCTGACAGGATCATTGTTAGGTAGCAGATATCTTATCTATGGTATGTACAGTGGCCAACTTCCCTTTCCGACTGTCCAGAACTAGTCACTCTTCTCCTTCCTAAGACAAAGTACCAGGACAACTGATGGAAGGAGGGGTTTTGTGGCTCATGATTTGAGATGATGCAGCTCACCGTGGTGGGAAAATCATGGCTGTTGCCCTGTGTTTGTAGTCAGAAAAGCGATGGATTCTGGGACACCACCCCCTGTCTTACTCTGGGACTCCCGTTCCTTTGATGGTTCCAGGCACATCAAAAGAGTGGGTCCTGGTTTTCACTTAAACCCCTCTAGAAACCCTCACCAACACACCCCAAAGGGTCTCTTAGGTGATTCTAAACCAGTCAAGTTCCATTGGAATCTCCTGTTTCAGGGACTGCTGGAAACAATAGTTGTTTTATTCTAAGCATTTATGTCTTGGCATATCTGGCTTGATACTTTTGCTGAGATATTTGAACATTGTGTCAGGCCAAAGAACCTCTGTTTTGTGTAGTTACCTGGAAGGAAACAGTGCAGCTGTCTGTCCGTGCCTCTGTCAGTTCACAGATGCCTGTACTGACTTTGACGGTCTGACCCTGAGAACTCACTTGATTAGGACATTTGCTCAATGGAATGCGGATTTTCTCCTAGAAAATGCTGGAAGTAGATACCATTTTCTCAGCATAGCACCTCAGCTAATTATAGATTTTCAGTGTGTGGTAGACTTTTCAAGACAGGCATAAAGAAATTTCTCATAGGTGGAAAGAGAACATCAAGGAGGGGGAAAAGAAGGAAAAAGAGAAGGGACTCTGGTTCTCATTTCCCTCCCAAACCAGAATATCACTGATGGTTTGGCATTTAACAGCAACTTACACACACAGTGATAGTGCTGTCTGTACTGAATTCTTTTTTCTTTCCGCTGTTAGATTTCCTAGGTATCACAAGCTCTACCATGCCTCCCTTTGTCATTTTTCTCTGATTTGCTACTACAAATAGGATTCTCTCTTTGAATTTGGTTACTGATTGTTAAAATTTGAGCTTCCCTGAGGCTCTTGAAAGCCTTTGGTTGTTCTTCCAGAATCTTGGGTGTTTGTTTGAGATCTGTGTTTCTGGCAGCAGCTTCTTTGGCATCAGCCTGGGTCAGACACCAGAAGCTGTCTCGCAGGGCCACTACATGGTCACTGTTCTTCACCTAGCATTTTCTAGGCATCCAGGTAAAGCCAGGGTTGTGGGCCAGAGGCACAAGGGCTGCAGTGTCTGTTCCTATGCATCCTCGGTCTAGGCCCAAGCAGGAATCATTTTACTCCTCAGTTTCTCAGGAATGCTGAGTGACAGGCAGAATGGGTACCAGCGCAGGAGAGGGCCAGATGGCCAGGAGTGCAGTTTCCCTGCAGTCAGTGTGATAGACAGGGTCACAGGCACTCCCAGGACCTTGTACACAGGGACAGGAGCCAGGCAGGCAAACCATGGTGGACCACTCTCATCAGGACTGGCTGCCTCTGATCCCTTAGCCCTGGACAGGCAGAGAGGAGACAGCCAGAGCCAGGGCCACTGCTCAGAAATGTGCCCTGCCCCTTCTACCTGCTTGCCCTGAGTGGCCACTTCCTGGCTCTAGAGAGTGGAGAGGGAGCAGTGGGTGGAGGGTAGCAGGGTCAGGCCAGCGGCTTTCCTGCAGAGATGCCCCTGTAGCAGAACAGCACTGTTCTGTGTAACCCAAGAAAGAGCTCAAGGTTGTGGCTTAGCAACCTGTGAGGGTTGACTCCAAGCTTAAGGGAGCAAAACACTTCATTTCACAAAGAGGCTAAGCTTCTCTCCTTAGGCAGGTGGGGTTTACTTGATAATATTAATGATTATAGCTGAGATATTTTGCATAAAATATATTTAAATTGTATGTAAATTACCTGTAGGTCACTGAGAGAAGTGAGTACCATGGGTGTCAGGGTGGAAGAAGAAATTTTTGTTGTTGTTTTTGTTTTCCGAGACAGGGTTTCTCTGTGGAACTGTCCTGACTGTCCTGAAACACACTAGGCTGGCCTTGATCATAATTTCTATAAAATAATTTTAGGGTTGTTTTTAAGTTGACTACATTTTTGGTAATCTGTCTAAGGTGCTTAAAAACGTTCTCTAGAATATTTTCCTCTCCTTCTCTACTCTCTTCCCAAAGAATAAAAACATTGTACATATTTACTCCAAAGGCAAAGTCAGGTCATAAAAACAACCCAGTCTCCCATGTTTAATGATAAAATAACGTTTTTGTTTTTCTATTTAAAGGTCAGCACGATTGTGTGGCTATAATCAACAATTTCTTCCCTCGAGAGAGGCTGGATTATTACACTAAACCCCAGGGACTGGATAAAGAGCCAAAACTGCCTCCAAAGTTGGCAGGACCACTGCACAAAGTCATCACCACGACGAACCTCCATCCAGTCAAGGTAGCCTGGTGTCTGGTGTAGCTGCTTTTCTAATTAGTGTTGCTACAATGTTCAAACTGTTCTCATGCTTTTGGGGCCTCAATCAGTGTTGCTACAATGTTTAAACTGTTCTGATGCCTTTGAGTCCTCAATCAGTGTTGCTACAATGTTTAAACTGTTCTGATGCCATTGAGTCCTCTCTGTTTAAACTGTTCTGATGCCATTGAGTCCTCTCAATCAGTGTTGCTACAATGTTTAAACTGTTCTGATGCCATTGAGTCCTCTCTGTTTAAACTGTTCTGATGCCATTGAGTCCTCTCAATCAGTGTTGCTACAATGTTTAAACTGTTCTCATGCCACAGGGTGGTCATTATCTCTAGAGGAATCCTGTAGATGAGGCGCTTACAGCGAGCTCCCTTGTCTGCTTGAGTCATTGCGGGAGTATGCTCAGTGAACGCCAGGAGCTGGTGAGGGAAAGCAAGAGAAGCAGGGCAAGAGGCCAAGAAGAGAAGCGTTAGCCTTGTTTAACTTGACCTTATCCCCAGGCATCGCTGCAGACAGCCTGACTCCAGCCCTGAGAGAGTGGGAGTTCTTTAGTATGTCATTGACCTGGACCTGTCCCCAGAGTGAAAGAACAACCTTCTGAGGAAATGAGGTGGCTCCCTTGAACGAGAGAAGTTCTCAGGAAGAAAGTGTTCTGTGCCTTAGTCCGTGCTGAGTATGGCAGGCCCGGCATGAGGCCTGGTAGCATGAATGTAGGTGACACCCCGTTGACTTGTATAGCAATATTTACCCTCAGGGGACTGCTCAGAGGCTCAACCCTTCCATTAAACATGAGCAAGTTTTCAGTGCAGGTGCTCTGTGCTGCTTTTGATGATGCTGTCAGTGGAGTTAAACCGATTGTCGCTTTGGCATCAGAGTTCAAGTTGTTCGGTATAAGTTTCAAGGGCTGTTCTCATTATTTTTCCTGCCACCCTCTACGTCTTCAGTCCTTTTTGTGTTTGTTGTTCCAAACAGGGTTTCTCTGTGCAGCCTTGGCTGTTCTGAAATTAGGCTGGCCTCAAACTCACAGACATCTGCCTGCCTCTGGCCATTGAGTGCTGAGGAGGTTAAAGGTGTGCGCCAACTGGCTTCTTTCTTCCTTTCTTTCTTTCTTTCTTACAACAGAAGCTAAGTAAGAAATCTGAAGAAGAGTCTTAGAGCTTACCTGTAAAGTCCTCTGCTCCCTCCTGGGCATTTCAGAAGTCCTTGAGAACTCCCAGGAGTTTCAGAAGCTCCTTTTCCATGGGCTTATAGGCAGCCGCCAATTGGGATAGGGGGACTCGGTTAGATGCAGAGAATGTACGTGGTTATCTGAGGCTCCAGTCAGCACACCCTGTTCCACTTTGGAGTGGAGTCCCCTGCTTTCTCTCCAGTTTTCCTACTCATTTCTTTTCTCTCTCTTTGACTTTCATACCTGTTTCTTAGCCTTCAGATCGCAGGGAGGTTCTGGAATCCTGTCTGACGTTTGCACAGCACCCACTATGTCTGCTGAATGTTCTAAAATTGTCCTATTTCCAGTTATCTTTGCAGATACATACCCGATGAGTAAATTAGAGGATTGCCTACATATGCAGGCAACATAAAAGCATCTGAGATGGTTGACATGATTGAGTCCTTATAGAGGCTTGGCACTGTGGTCCTTTCTCGAGACCCAGCCTGCTCTCCATAGGAGCATAAGTCATTCACCTGAACCTCTGTCTTTCATCTACGCCCTCTGAAAACAAAGCTTAAAAAAAAAGCACAGACTCCCCCTCCCCCAGCTTCACCTTTCCATTGCTTTTGTGCATAGAACAGCTGTGTTTGAATCTAGGTTACACGGCTGCCACAGCAATGTATTTGTTTTCAAAATGACTTGGGGAGTTGTGTGCTGATGCCCAGACAATAATGGCTATCTAGGAGAAAAACAAGATCTCTGGAAAAATCGCAAGAGTGTTGAGAAGGGCCTGGGAGGGAAGAGCAGGCAGGTGATGGTGGTCCAGCCCTTCATTGTGGATGGGCTTTTCAAAGATTGTTGACAAATTCATGAAGTGGGGGGTGGGGGACAGAGTGAGAAGAATGGGAGATGCTACCACAGGGGCGTATTCTTTGCTAGCCATTCTTGGAGATGCAGGGCGCATCTTGATTTCCGCTGAAAGGGATACACTACTTCTGTTGACAGTGTCTGGTGGAGATGTTCTTTATCTCCTTCCGCACTGCGGGGGAGAGGAAGGACACTAGTGTGAATATTTCTTTGTGGGTGGGCATGTTTCACTAATCCTGTAGCCGTTGGTCATAGTCTCCTAAGTCTTAGTTCTGCTTTGTGAAATAAATAAAGCCAAGTGTCTCAATTTTTTTAAAAAAATCACTAATATAGACTACTTTAGATTTTTTTTTGGGTTTGGTATCCCTTGAAATTTATTGCTATTACTAAGAAGAATATAGAAACCAAAATAATATTTTCTGTTTTGTTTTCCATAATGTTTTTTGAACTTTCCATGAGACCATGTACTCTTGGATTACACAGTTCTGAGAGAATTCCTCTGGGGTCTCTGCAGTATATAGGTGATTCAACCACTTTATTCCTTCAGCTACTCATGAAAACCAGCAGATAACACTGTTTTATTTGAAACACATAAAATAAGACATATAAGGAACTCACAACACAATATTTAGTAGGCAGGAAATGCTCAGAAACTGTCAGTGGGAGGGCAAAACATGATGAATTTGCTGTTTATTCCCTAAATTTTAGTTCCCGTAAAAGAGTAAAACAGACTGCTTTAGCTTTTTAAAAAGAATTTTGCTGGTAAATTTGAGTCAGTACTCCTAATTATTTTATATAAGTACACCTTATATAAAATACTGAACAATTTTAAATGATCATAATTATCAGCAGTACAAATGGTTAATTAATGAGTTCTGTTACATCACAGATTATTTTTTCTACAAATTAATTTTTAAAATATTTATGTATGTTGTATGTATATATTTGTGCCTGAAGGTATGTATATGCACTGCATGTGTGCAGAGCCCTAGGAAGTAAGAGGAGGGCACCAGATCTCTGGAACTGGAGTTACAGATGGTTGTGAGCCACCATGTGGGTCCTGGGTCCTCTGCAAGAGCAGCCAGTGCTCTTACCATGTGTGTAAGCACACCACCGATGTACCTGGTACCTGTGGACACTGGAGGACAGCATCTGAGCCACAGAAACTGGAGCTGTGTCTGCCTTTGAGCCGCTGTGTGGTACTGGGCTGCATCATGAATCTTCTGGAAGAGGAGCCAGTGTTCATAACCAGTGATATGCTCATCTCTCCAGTCCCCGCAGATGAATTTTTCATATTTGTTTTGTTAGGGAGAATAATCAGCAAATTTACTAATAAGGATTCAATTTTGCTTACTTCATGAAGTCTGATAACTTATTTTAATGTGCTGGATCTTAAGAAAATATGAGTAATGTCAAAGATAATTTCTTTTCTTTTTTTTAATATTTATTTATTATGTATACAATATTCTGTTTGTGTGTCTGCCTGCAGGCCAGAAGAGGGCATCAGATCTCATTTCAGATGGTTGTGAGCCACCATGTGGTTGCTGGGAATTGAACTCAGGACCTTTGGAAGAGCAGGCAATGCTCTTAACTGCTGAGCCATCTCTCCAGCCCCTAAAGATAATTTCTTATTGCCCTTATATCTATGTTAGATTTTCAGGAAAGTAGGTAATGGGCATTGTGTCAATTCACAGATGCTTTTTCTTCATGTCTGAAGAGAATGTCATCCTCAAACTTACTTGGCACATGTGTCGAGCTGAAACACACAGGTTAACAAGTCCTGACTACTGGATACACTGGCCAATCATGCATGTTTTCATCCTGATTGGGCCCTCAGGGGCCTGTAGGTGGTCTTCTGCAGGCTAACTGCAAGTCATAGACCCTGTGACAAGGGTCATAAAAACACTTCTGATTGCATTAAATTTGAGATTAGTTAGTCCATAAATAGGAAATGTAGGACTCACAGTGTGTAAGGCTGAATAACTTCCTGCTACTCTCCCTTTCAAAGCTCTTTCCGGGTTCCATTTTAACATAATTGCAGTATTATATCTACAATACAATGACTGGACTAATCTTAAGGAAAACTTCTGCAAAGAGATCTAGTTAAGTGGAAAGTAAAAATGCGTAATGTTTCTAGACTTCCTTCTGTAGAGGCCTGATTTTCTTGTAATTAGTAGGAGTTTGAGGACTAGGGAGCTAACTCAGTAACAGAACACTTGCTTAGCATTCAGGGAGCCGAGTTCAATTCCCAGCACCTCATCAATGGGGCATGGCAGTGCCCACCTGTAAGCCAGCACTCGGGCTGCGGAGGCAGGAGGGTCAGAAATTCAGAGTCATCCTGACATCGCGTGTTCAAGGCCAGTCTAGGAGGCAGGAAAGGAAACCTTTCAAAACCTGAAAGGAAAGAAGGGAGGGGAAAGGAAGAAAGGCAAAGGGAAGGAGAAGGGTAGGGGAGAGTGGCTATTTTCCTATGGGGATATTGAGTTTAGTGATGGCACCTGAAGTCATTGTTTGCTCCGTGACACTGTTCTGTGTGTAATGAAAGGTTGTGCACAACACTGTTACCATTTATAGAGCTTTTTTCAGACACTGCACTGTGCCCTGGGAGGCTTCCCAGCACCTCAGTATGGGTAGAGGACAGACCACATTTTAATTTTAATGTCAGGAAATCTCCTCATACTGGATCTGCTTTATAATGCAGAAGAGTAGCGATTTGCCTTCTCATCTGACTTGTGCATTCTTGTGTGTGAGTCTAAGAAGACCCTGGGCGTTTCTTCTAGATTGTGATGCTGGTGAATGAGAACCCTCTGCTGGCAGAAGCAGCCGCTCTCGGGAAATGCTACAAGGTGCTGGATCTGATCTGCGAGAAATGCATGAAGCAGAGAGACATGAACGAAGTGCTGGCTATGAAGATGCATTACATCAGCTGCATCTTCCAGAAATGCATTGGCTTCTTCAAGGAAGGGGAGAATAAGCTGGATACCCTGATCAAAAGGTACGGCTTCTACCATGCCATGGGGAATACGCTCAACACACTCCTTATAGGAAGCCTGGTGCCATGGGGAATACGCTCAACACACTCCTTATAGGAAGCCTGGTGCCATGGGTAAAGATTATATTTTAGTGGCAGCAGACACTGTTGGAGTCACGTGTTGTCTCCCAGAAACAAGGGACACTATTAGACCCAGATAGAGTTTGGTGATTTTGTTGTTTTTACTAATTGACTCTTGAGGAATCTTTCACAGTGGATCAGTGACCTGGATAAGACCACACAGCTAGAAAATGGCCCATGTGATGAGATTAAGTGTATTGTGGCGTAGGCTGCCATACTCTTCCTGTGTGTGATAACACACCTGGTAGGGCTGAGTGTGACCTTTGCCCTCTGGCCACAGGGATCTCACTAGAGTGCAGCTCTACTGAGAAGAAGGAACTGAGTCACGAGGCTCATTGAGAGTTCTTGTTCCTCCTGGGGACAGCTGACTAGGTCATAGTAGCTGGCTAGCCTGAAGACAGTGCTCAGCCCCTTGAGGCAGGTGTCACTTTTGCTTGTTAGAACTTGGAAACTTGTTCAGGCCTACTGTTGAGTTTGGATAACTTGAGTCCCTCTGCATGAGATTTGAGAAGAGCCCAACAATTAACAGGAAACCGCTAAAAGCTTTTGGGTCTTCCTAGGAGGGAATTGCTGTAATGATTCACCTTGAGCTGTTTAAACCCTGTCCTTCAGCTTGTTGAAAGGCAGAGCGTCTGATGGCTTCCCGGTGTATCAGGAAAAGCTGATCAGAGAGAGCATCAGGAAGTTCCCATATTGTGAAGCCACGCTCCTCCAGCAGCTGGTTCGAAGCATTGCTCCGGTGGAAATTGTAAGACTCCTCTTCCCTGTGTTAACCGTCCAGTAAGACCCAGCCACCGCCTGCTCTGACCCAACAACAAGTTCTCCTTACTATTTGCTTTTCTTGTTTCTGGAAACATTTAGGAGCCAAACTGGAAATAAGTTGGCAGTGTTTTTCCACATCAGAAAGTAGGTAGTTCTAAGAGAAAGAAATCGTATAGCTCTGTGAATGCTGTGCCGGGTGGATAGCCACCTGCCCAGGGCTAGAGGCTCACACACGCGCCTTGCTGGCTGCAAGAATTACTAGTGCAAACTTCCTGAGTGCACAGACTGGTCCTCTAGGGCACCACAGTTCAGGCTATCCACAGCTGGGAGAGCCAAGACAAGGCTGGCTGTGCTTGCGGACAGCAGTCGCAAAGGGCCAGATTCCGTTGTGTGACTTTAGTGCCTCGAATTAGGAATGTTCTATACTTTAAAAAAAAAACAAAAAAACAAACAAACAACCAGAACACGCTGTATATCTTTCTAGAGGTAAATTTTACTGCCATTGTCTTACATGGCTTCGTCTTTCTGTCATATTTAAGTGCTGTCTCACAAGATGCTTTATGCTTTCCCTGTCTAGAATAGTTTTCTGTTCACTGTGCCGATTCATGCTTTTACAGGCATATCAACCAAATCCTGTGTTAGCCTTTAGCCTGATGCAGTCCCAACAACATGGCTTCCTCTGTTCACTTCTCTGAACCTGCTGTATTGTCATCCTCATCCAGGCACTCCGGGTGACATGATTAAACCTGGGCAGTGGTTCATTTGTACCGCACGGCCCTGGTCCTTTTACACAGAAGCGCTCTTCTTTCTTTAGTACAGTTGGCTGTTTGCCATGTGGGCTTCTAAAAGATTGGGCAGCAAATTGTGAAGGTGAATGATTTCGGATGACCATAGCCAGCTCTGGCCAACAGTTAAATCCGTAAGGGTTTCTGTCACATACACTGAAGTAACCAAAGCTAGCAGACCAGGCACGATGGCTCAGGAATGAACTAAGGAATCCTCCCGCTCGTCCATGCTCCTCAACCACATAGGCCCCCACAGGCATGTTTGTGTGCACAGACTTGCAAGGCATCAGACATTGCCTGTGGCACACATTCCCTCCTCAGGCAGGGAGAAAGAACAGCGGTCTACCCCACGGGGAAGGTGCTCTGCACAGTCTGGGTTGCTCGCCTGTTCACTGGAATAAGGTTGTATCTTATTTCCATGCAAACTAAATTGCTCTCCGTTGGTGAGACGTTTGGAGAGTCATGTCAGAGAAGTGGCTAGCGGTGGTTGTCATGCAGAGTGCCCAGCGCTGGTAACTGAGAGAAAACAGAGCAACAAACCCAGCAGCCCCGGGTTTTCAAATAAACCCTCAGTGCCTCAGAGGGCGGCCGCGGATAACCTGAGTTCAGTCATCCTATCCAATGGTGGACGAGAAGCGCTAGCTCTGAGTTGTACCTGATCCCCATGTCTATGCCATGGCCTGCATGTGCCAGTGCACACACACACAAATGCACACATTAACATTTTTTTTTTCAAGAATAAGCTTTCTGTTTATGGAGCCAGCAAGAAGGCTCAGCAGGTAAAGGCACATGCCACCAGGCCTGAAAACTTGATTTTGATCACAGTGAGCCACTTAGTATCAGATAGATAAGGTAAAACTTGTGTTTTAAGTTCCAGGAAACTGACTCATGTTTACCATTTGTGGAGGTAGTGAAGAGCCAGTTATGTGTGGTCTGTGAAGGACAGACTGACTTCCACTGGTAGTCCTCTGACCTCCACCTGTGCAACCTTGGCACACACCCACACAATACAGACAAATTAAAAACAATTTTTTTTAAGAGTCAGAGCATATCAGCATTTCATCTTAGCCTCATGAAGCAGTAATTATGTCTTATAAAGTATGATGTTTAATGTTTTTTTTTCCCTAGTGATTTACTTAGTCAGGAAAGGTTAGTAATAAAGTTGAGTAGTATTTAATGTCATTTTGAAAGATCTCCCTTTCAAAGGTTTTTGTCCTTTAATAGTTATATATTCTGAGTTGGACCTAAGAGGCCAGGCCTGACATTTTCACTATTTGGGATTAAGCCAGGAGAGTTACAAGTTCAAGGTCTGCTTGGGCTACCGAGCAGATTTACAAGGAAGATAAGTAGCTTCATAGGATCATGTCTCCAAATAAAAAGTAAAAAGAATGCGGAGGATGTAACTCAGCGATAGAGCACCACCTGGCATGCACAAAGACTTACTCTAGTCCCTCGTCCAAGAAGCAAGTGCTCTAAAATACTTTTTGAAAGCTTACCATTTGGTTTCCCAGATGGCTACCATCTATGGGTTTTGTGGTGCTGCAAGTTCCTACACCTCTAAGGTAACACCAGCTCCTTGCTGTAATGTGAAGGTTGCAGACTGGTGGACATGACAGCCACTGTTGCTTCTGCCAGTTCTGGTGTCTGGGTCCCTGATACACAGGTTTTGGTTCCCTCTGTGTGAGACTCTGGCTTCTCCTGATAGACCTCAACAGGAAGTGTGACACATGGCTTTCTCTAGGGAATCTCAGTGGAGCATTGTAGCAAGTTATATGGTGGAGGGTTTGCCTTGTCTATCAAGTTTTTAAACTCTTGTTTTTACTCTAATGTTTTTACTCTAAAGAGTAGCATTGCCATTTTTGGTGTCAGCATCAGCATGCCCAAAGGTAGATTACAGCCCGTGTTTGGTAAGGTTTGTTCTTTCTGGTCTGTTGTGGGAGGTCCTCCCACTATAGGCTGGAGGAGTGGGAGGACCTCCCGTAACACTGGTCCTTCTCTAGGTAGGGATAGTTTACATGCTTCGCTGTGCTCTAGCAGTAGGTCACATGCACAGCCGTGCTCTCGCAGTAGATCACATGCACAGCCGTGCTCTAGCAGTAGATCACATATACAGCTGTGCTCTCGCAGTAGGTCACATGCACAGCTGTGCTCTCACAGTAGATCACATGCACAGCTGTGCTCTCACAGTAGATCACATGCACAGCTGTGCTCTCACAGTAGATCACATGCACAGCTGTGCTCTAGCAGTAGATCACATGTACAGCTGAACTCTAGCAGTAGATCACGTGTACAGCTGTGTTCTCGCAGATCACATGCACAGCTGTGCTCTAGCAGTAGATCACATGTACAGCTGTGTTCTCGCAAATCACATGCACAGCTGTGCTCTAGCAGTAGATCACATGCCCAGCCATGCTCTAGCAGTAGGTCACATGCACAGCCATGCTCTAGCAGTAGATCACATGCATAGCCGTGCTCTCGCAGTAGATCACATGCACAGCCGTGCTCTAGCAGTAGATCACATGCACAGCTGTGCTCTAGCAGTAGGTCACATGCCCAGCCATGCTCTAGCAGTAGATCACATGCACAGCCATGCTCTAGCAGTAGGTCTCATGCATGCCTGTACTATTAACAAAATGTCCTGCGTTTGACCCTCAGTTTCAGCTGGAAGAGTGTGAGTGCTGAGTGGCTCCCACAGGCTCTTATCTTAATGATGAGCCTGTCTCAGGCAATTTTGTAAAGAGATACTTGAACATTAATGTCATGGTGGTAATGTCCATCGAATGTACGATTCTCTATTCATTGGTAGACGAGAACTACCTTCTGATATAAAGCTCCTTCTGCATATCTTCTGTGCGTGTGCTGCCACACTGGGAGGACTTTACTTATGAAGCAAAATTACACAGATTTTTAAAGATTTGGTATAATATTAAGCTCAGTATTTGACATTTTTGGTATATCTCGGTAGTACCTGGGGAATTTTAACAATGCAGGCTTTTGGACTACACTCTAGAGAGTGTGCACTAAGTGGTTGGACCTCCATTTTTAATAAGGGTGGTGCATGTCAATATTTGAGGACAATGGCTGTGCACCTTCATTCCTGATGAAGTATAAAATTAGCTTAGGCTCATTTTGCCTAAAATTTCCTTACCACTTCATTTATTTCAAAAGAGAATCCTCAGCCCTTCTGCATGGTAAGATGTTTTGATTCAGGACTTGACAGTGTGAAAAGCAGCCTTTAAAAATGCTTCTTGAATTTTCTGAATATTTTTAGGCTGTCTTCAGTGTTCAGGGAAGTATGAGACATTGTTCTCATACTTTGACACTTGGTAAAGAGCCATTATGACAGTTGGTAAGATAATAGAAAAACACATTCTCATGAGGAAGTGGTAAAGACTCAGTGAAATTACCGAAAGTAGCAAAGTTTTGCTTGAGAACAAATGTGCAACATTTAAGAATCCAGGACAGTGAACAGGTAGAAGGTAAGATCAGTTAGAATATCCTGTTATTTTTGCTTACCTTTGTTTCAGGTAGATAAATATTTTCCCTTTTCATTTTCTCTATACGTTTAAAAAAAATTTTACAACCTTTTTTTTAAGGAGTCACATAACATGAGATTTCACATTTTAAAAACTTCTTGATGCAGTTCTTTGGGTGTTTATTAAAGAGGGTAGAATATTTGAAAGTATATTAAAATGATTTAGGCATTGAGATAGACGGTAATGAGGGCTCTGTGTTTGTTCCATAGGGTATGAATATTTACTTGATGTCAATTCTCAGAAAACGAAAATCTGCAAGTTCATTGTCCTGTTCCTGAAGTTAGCATGAGTTATTGAATAATACTAATTGGCAATGATTGTATTCTAGAAGAGAGACACTTTTTCCCTCTCATTTATGGAGATCAGGCCTTGCATGTTATGTAATTTGTATAGAAGAAGGTACATCCAAAAGACTGATTCTTCATCACAGAGTCTGTGTCATGAGCATTAGTGGTTTCTTCCCCCTACTGTTTCTAGTCAATACCATGTGTCAGTGTTCTGTGGTCTTCCACAGGTATTTCAGTGGATATTCTCTCTTCTTCACACTCCTAGGGTTCTGACCCCACTGCGTTCTCTGTGCTTACCCAAGCCATCACAGGACAAGTGGGTTTTGTGGATGTTGAATTCTGCACCACTTGTGGAGAAAAAGGAGCCAGTAAAAGATGCTCAGTTTGCAAAATGGTAAGAGCGAAATTCTTCTAAACCCATTGATGCGTAGGGAAGATTGCTCCAAGCTGACAACTGAATTCTAGCATCACATAAGTGTAGTAGTTGAAATTAGTCTTATAATAAATTCTAGGAAGTAAACATATTAAACAGCAGCTCAGCAAGAGAACTTCCTGTGTGCCCCAGTTTCTACTACCACATAGAAAAAAAGAGATGAAAGGATAACGGAAAGAAATCAGATCAGAGAGCACCAGTACATGGGTTGGTGTGGCTAGGAAAAGCCAGACTGGGACAGTTCACAAGTGACATTTCATGTTGAACTTCTCAGTCTTCATTCATCTTGTCCTTTTAAACTAGCGCTTTTTAACTGCCAACAAATGGCAATTCTTAAGAACTCTACTTTCCCGCTTTCTAGAGTTATCTCTATAAAGTATGTGTCTGATTAGGTTCTTCTCTCATCCTGACCCAGTACACATGAACATGCCTGGTATACTCACTAAATCCCGCAGGTGACATTAATCTGTTGATTTCAAGATTGAAACTTTTCAACCGATTTTGAGACATCAGCATCTACCAGATGCTTCTCCAGATTTACGTGCTTAAATTACTTCCTAAAGCCTCTTTCCTCCTGTGTGAAATAGGACTCAGAGCCAGTGCACATAGAAAAGCCCTCCAAAAGCAAAGTTTAAGTTCATAGTCACACTTCTCATGGCAGGCTGCCTTCAGCTGGGGCAGTTTGGAACCTGAACATGTTCTCAGGACTGTGCTGGAAGATGAAGTAAACAACAAGAAATGCAAAGGGATTCTTTGGAGCTTTTCAGTTTTGTAAACGGAGGCAGCTCATTCATTTTCCAGTCACCTGTACCCAAATACTCACACAGAAACTATATTAATTACAACATTGTTTGGCCAAAGGCCTAGGCATATTGCTATCTAGCTCTTACATCTTAAATGAACCCATTTCTATTAATGTATATATCACCATGAGGCTGTGGCATATGGGTTAGGTTCTGGCATCTGTCTCCTTTGGCAGCTACATGACGTCTCCTTGACTCTGCCTATTCTCTCTATAAATCTCTGTTTAGATTTCCCTCCTGGCTTTACTCTGTTAAGCCATTGGCCAAAACAGTTTTATTCATCGACCAATAAAAGCAGCACATATACAAAAGGATATCCCACAAATATTGAAACTATAATTCTTGATTGATGCCTGTTTTGTTGTATGTAATTTTACTATGTTAAAGTTAAAACCTTCCTTTCTAATTAGAAAGAAAAGCTCCATAACAGGATGTCCCCATAAAGCCAGAGCCATTTGTGCCACCAGCACAAATCAGGAAGCCAGCTCTTAAAGAAGCTATGCAGTTTTTGCTGCTAATGCTGTCAGGAAGCCTTCTCTTAAAGGAACTATGCCTTTTCTTGCCTCTAGCAAATAGAGTCTACCCGAGAAAATGCTGCTGCCAAGAAGGTGTGCTTAACTCTGTTCTTTTGTGTCTAGAGTTCCTTCCCAAGCTCTCTCAGGTTTTATGTGGTTGTAGTTGACCCATATTGGCTCCATTATGTAAATGGAGGCTGCTTGTTTGTTTCCTAGCTGCCCAGACCCGAATAATCACACGGAAATTATATTAATTACAACATTGTTTGATCAATGGCCTAGGTGTATTTTTGGCTAGATCTTACATCTTAAATTAACTAATTTCTATTAATCTGTGTATCACCATTAGATATATAAACTACCACTAAGTTTCTAGCATTTCTCCTTCAGCAGCTACATAGTGTCCCCTGGACTCTGCCTACTCTGTCTCTATCTCTGTTCAGATTTCCCTCCTGGCTTTACTTTGCTAAGACATTGGTCAAAACAGCTTTATTCATCAACCAATAAAAGCAACACATATACAGAAGGATATCCCACACCACAGTTTTGTTTTCTCTTGAGTCCATGCTCAAATTCCTAACTCTCCTGTGTCTATCTCCCAAATGCTGGAGTCCAAGGTTCTTAATATGCCAGTTACCAAATCTTCTGTAGCCTCTTAGACCAATACACAGTTGGATTATGTACAACCAGACATCATATCATAGTTTTTTTATGTATGGGAAACAGGATTTTTATAGAATATTTCGTGGCTTGATGTTTGTTGAGGAACCATGCGATTCCAAGTCTTAAAATGAAAACCAACTTGTAATGGATTTCAGGTAATATATTGTGACCAGACCTGCCAGAAAACACACTGGTTCGCACATAAGAAGATGTGTAAGAGTCTGAAAGACATTTATGAGAAGCAACAGTCTGAAGCTGCCAAGCATAAGAGGCAGGAGGAAAAGAGTACGTACCAATCCAGAACTTGTGCTGTCCCTTCGTGAGGGACAGGAAGGCTCGGTGTCACTGACTCTGCATGCAGAGGAACTGTCCCTCCTTTGGGAGTGGCCAGCTTTGGGACACTGCACGGAACACAGTCACCTGAGACAACATGACATTCCAATGATGTGGTTACACCACATTTGACTGCCCTGGAGTGGTCTTCACGGGTCACTCGTGGAGGGCAACCAGACACACGACATTCTAACGATGTGGTTACACATTTGACTGCCCTGGAGTGGTGGGAATCTTCATGGGTCCTCGTGGAGGGTTTTTTGGGTTATTGAATAGGCCTTGAATGTCCCCCGATGGCTACCATAATACTTTAAAGTTAGAAGCCTGTACTCTTTTAATTACAGTTCATTATGAATGAAATTATAGTTCATTTGTAAATTATAACCAAATCTTAGATCTGGTGTGCACACTCCACTCTGCAAGCATGAGAGCAATGTATTATCCATTTTCCCTTCTTCTCATAGAGATGAGGAACTGCTTTTTCTCTGTAGCTCTGGCTTGCTTCTACAGTGATTCTCATATTCCAGGGACTTTCCCCATCTTGGGAATATATCCTGCTTTTTTGGAAGTGTGTATAGCTGGAAAGCATTGGCTCTGTACAATCATCTCACTGTCCTTAGCTGCTTTCATCTCAACTCATAAAATGTGGCTCTTCTAACATTTGGTGTAATTGAATGGTTTGCACACACAAAGTTTTTTTGTTTGCTTGGTTTTTGTTCTTTTTTTTTTTTTTTGGTTTTTCGAGACAGGGTTTCTCTTTGAAGCCTGACCTGGAACTAGCTTTTGTAGACCAGGTTGGCCTTGAACTCACAGAGATCTGCCTGTCTCTGCATTCCAAGTGTTGGGTTTAAAGGCACGTGCCCCCCATTGCCTGGCACAGAGTTATTTTTTAAAATGAAACATTTGCCACTAAGTCTTCCTATTTTGGACTAGTCTTCCCATTTTGCCTTCTTTGCTGTAGATCAAACTTTTTTTTTGTTAATTTTTCAAGACAGGATTTCTCTGTGTAACTGTGGGCTGTTGTGGAACTTGCTCTGTTGATCAGTTTGGCCTTGAACTCACAGAGATCCACCTGTCTCTGCTGGGATTAAAGGTGTGCACTACAACTCAGCAGACTAAACATTTTTAATCCAGAAGATGGGTAGGCTTTTATCAATAAAAATTAGCTAAGTCTGTTACCTTCTCAAGGACATCAAGTTAATTAAATGCAGATTTTGTCAGCCCCAAACAATTCCAGTGCAGAGTTCTGGCCTTAGAGCCTCAGGCTTCTGTGAAGCTTGGAGTAAGTACCCAACCCCTCTTCTCAGGGTCACTACTGATAGGGACGATAGTGACAATTTGAATGAAGTGAGTGATGTCTGTCCCGTGTAGAGACTGTGATTAATACTGTAACATCACCAGACTGTCTGGCACACAATAGCAACAATATTCATTTTTCATTTTCTTAGAGGGAAAGCTCGATGCCAACTCTAACCATGTTACTGAAGATCAGCCAGAGGCTGAAGCGGGCATCTCCCAGGAAAATTCCACTCCTGACGATTCTGCGGAAGGAGCGAGAGAACCCGGAGAAGAAGCTGGACTGGCCCACGCACAGGATGCTCCTGCAGGGCCCCAGCTGTCGGAGGAGTAAGCACAGTCGACAGTGGCCAGTGGGCTGTCTTCATCCCAGCAGATTCCTGCAGAACTCATATGTGTCTTCATTGGCTGTGACGCTGCACGGCTCAGTGCCAGGACTACGCATCCCTAGAATAGAGGCTTTCAAGCAAAGCTGCCTCCCACCTTTGAATTCATGCTCATTTCTGTTCTATAGATGAACAGGCATTTCTACGGAAATTATTTTCTTTTAAAATACACACACACACACACACAAAAAAAAAAAAAACAAAAACCATGTCCATTCCTCTTCTGGCTCCCCAGTGATTGTTCGCAAAGGAAAACAAATCCCCTTAAAGGAGAAATCTGGGTTCTAGAATACAAGTTAAAAAAACAGGGACGATGTGAAAGAAAAGTGATGTTTAGGGAGAGAGAAATCACGGGCACAGAAGTGGGCTGTCAGAAAAAGCAAAACTTACCTGTGAATTAAGTGTATCTGAGTAGATTTTATTGTCCTGAAGTTGGACGCACAGAGCTGTAATGAGGAACACTCTGTTCAAAGAGCTTCACTGTAATGCAGCCTGCTGTAGTTCAGATAGAAAATACCAAGAGCGCTCTGAACCCCATGTTCTCTGCAGCAATAATCTCTATAGGATTTGAGCATTCAGAAGGGTGTGTTAGCACTGGGTAGTCACTGTACAAGCGCTTCCTGTAAAACCACACTCTTATCCAAAAGGCCAACCTTTATCTTCCTGTCAACTCCCATGAGCCTCATCCCACCCACAGACTGGGACGTATAGCTGTCATTTTAAAGGTGTCCTGTTGTGTATTTTAATGTATGTGGCATGTAAGCAAGGCTGGAGTGTCCTGTCTGATGAAGGTGCTCCCTTTCAGTTTCCTGTTGGTTTAAAATAAATCTACCCACATACACGCTTCCTCTTGTTTCAGAATTTGTGCCAAGGGGCCGAATGTTAGAGAAACTAGCAAAATCTGAAGGAATGACGGCAAGGTTATGTAGTGTAAAACAACTGATTCTTCCCTCACTCAGCTGGTCAGATTCCTGCATCCCGTTGATTCTAATCTCCCTTCCTCCCATTTTAATTCCAGCCCAGCACACTTGTCCTTCCACATGCTACGATCATTGTTCAGGGATGACTCCATGTGAGTAAACTCTGTTAGAAAGTTAACTATCCTGTTTAAGCTTGTCAGTTGTAACAAGCTTCCCTTGCAAAATGAAGCCATGCATCAGCATGCCTCGTCTGTGCAGTGATAAACACTTCAGGTTGTGAGCGAACACACCATCCAGGGCCCTCTGTAGGTTACAGTGCTCTGAGCATTATGATTTGGAATGCATGCTCACGCCATCTTCCTCATCCCTTCCTAAGGGGGCTGTCAGCTGCACACTGTGCTAGGCCCTGGCAACCTGCCTAAGAACCCTGGAATCCATGCACTGACACTTGGTGAGCTCTCTGGGTGTTCTTTTTTGCTTCATGTATCCCAGAATTAAGGGATGAAGAGGCCTACAACACGGAAACACTCAGAGTACCGACCCCAAAAATCCCTGGTATAAAAGACAGTTGTGGCTAAAGGCTGGGCCATATGATGAGACAGGTCTAGCTAAGGATATTTGCTTCCCTAGGAGTTAGTTTCTTCTAACTAAGGGACCTAGGATAAAGCCAAATGCTACTGTTCTACTGAAGGAACTTAATAATAAAATGACTCCTAATGGCATTCTGCTGTCCTCACAGATCAGTGCCCTGCTCAGTCAGCATCAGAAAAACCTGTAGTAGGCATTTTCTCTGGGTCACCAACCAGCTCCCAAATAAAGACATGGAGACTTATTATTAATTATGAATGCTCAGCCTTAGCTTTGACTTATTTCTAGCCAATTTTTCTTAAACTTAAATCAAGCCATTTCTATTAATCTAAGTGCTGTCCTGAGACTCATTTACCTCAGCTGTATACCATCCGTCCTGCCGTCCTGCTTCCTCTGTAGTCGGCTGGCTGGTCCCTGGCTGAGTGGCTGGCTCTCTTGCTCTGTGCCCATCAGCCCTGCCTAGCTTTCCTCTGCCCAGCTACTGGCAAGGAAACAAGGCCTTCTAAACACTACAGGACCAGTGCACATATGAAAAAAAAACCAAACCATTTTCTTCAACCAAGTGAGGCATGCTTCAATTTGTCAGTTTAAGAACTAAAGTGAATTTACCATTCTTTTCTGTCACTGTTGCAAGGGTTTATGTGATGCATTTTTAATACAGTTATACCACATAGTCTATCCTTACAAAGGAATACACCTTACATTCTGTTGCAGGTATAGACCTTTTTATTTTATCCTATCTTTCAGTGCTTAATCTAGAGATTGCAATATCTTGTCCATCACTTGCGAGAGTAATTTTTAAAATACTGCGTATACCACTTACAGGTCTCCTTAAGCCCAGTCCTGACTGCACCATTTTCACCGAAATGGATTCTTCACATACACCCCCTCACCCCCCACATACTGCCTATATTGTTACTTGGAGGTTTGGCTGGGACCCAGCTCCTGATGAGCAGCTTCTGTCAGTTCCTTAGGTCTTCAGTGTGAGGACGGCACAATAGAATACCCAGAACTGTTTGGAGAGCAGTACTGGGTCTCTGCCGTGTTCCCGTGACCTTGCTAAAGAGCCTGTGGAAAGTACTGTGAGCCTTTTCTTGGAGGGTCAGGGCACATGAGCTTCTCCAGAAGACTGGGTGTCCTAACACAGGGACTCCCCCAAAGTCAGTGATCAGGGAAAGAGGGAGAGAACACACTGATGCCGAGTACCAAACAACCGTTCCTGCCACGACACCAAGGACTGTCACTGCTCAAATCGTTTCTTCTGGTCCTAGCCGACCTTTTCATCAGAACCACACCTGAATGTTCAGACTCAGGCCAGGAACACGGGACACGAACAGGTTCATTATCATAGCGGTCATGTCTACCCCTCTGTGAGTTCAGTCCATATTTCCATGTGTCCGTATTCTCTGAGGATGAGCAGGGTTAGGAGAAATGTCACCACATTTTAAAAGCTGACAGAGCTCTTAAGTCACAGAAGACAGCAATGGGCTTGAGATGAAGTGTTAATTTTTGTCACTTGGCACCAGGCAATTGGTAAAGGCCATCGAGTTTCTTTATTCCCTAGCACTGGACTTCTGGTGAGGCCAAGCCAACAATCATTAGCCCCACACCCAGAACTGGCCAGTGTCCCAGAGATGTGCAGACGGCACGGATAACTGAACTGTGGTGTGGTCACGTGGTGGACTGCTGGACGGCAGTGAAGACTGCAGAGCCATCGCTATGGCAGCAACAGAGCTGCCTCAGAACAGCAAGTGCCAGAAGCCACACCCGACGTGTTCATTCTTTGTGATTGCATGTATATGGCTCGCTCTTGATTGCACAATCAAGTTTCACCATGAAACTCACTCCTTAGAGGTCAGGATGGTGGTTTGTGCGGAAGGGTATACAGCACCTGCTAACACAAAGAAGGGGCATTTAGAGAGTTGGTAATGTTTTATTGCTTGATCAATAGTGCCAGTTGCATGACCTTGACTGTCTTAGAGACTGTGTTGAGCTTTACACTAAGAGTTTTCTTTATTCATGAGTAAACATTTACAATAAGAAGTCTATAGTGCAGGAATCGTTTTCCCATCACCGATGGCTCTATTTATAAACATCAGGTGAGTGTTGCTCTAAGTCATGGATGTTTTAACATTCTGCTGAGCAGGCAGCATGAGGAGTTTGGAAAGTTATCTCAGGGATATTATCATCATCTTGGCTGAGTCCATCTTTTTCGTTTCTCCATACTCTTCCTCTCGTGTGGGAACCGTGTCCCAGTTCATGGAAGTGATGGCCATCAAAGACCTCTTCATGGATCTTACAAACACAGCGTCTTCTGGGTCATCAAACACAGTCCTACAAAGGTAGCAATTAGATCAAGAGTAAGTAGGTCTGACCAACATGATTCTGTGTGTGACTGTGTGTATTGAGGGTGGCATCCAGGGCCCTAGGCATCTTACAGAAGTACTTTGTCTGGAGCACACCTAAAGCCCTGAAGCTGTTATTTAAATGAATAATTGCCTATATCCCCACCGACATCATGGACTTTACTCCCTTGACTTTCAGGCCAAGTGGCACAATTTTTATTGTGCACATGGTTCATTTTTAAAGTGGAGTGTCTGGATATATATTTCAGGATCTATTATAAAAGTCTCACATAACCATGTTTTCATAGTGGGAAAACTGTCAAATAGCAACCTGGAAATGTTTTTTGGTATCATGCATATTAATATTGTAAACATTTTCTTTTGAAGTTACTTCCCCACATATTTTGTAGATGATGAGAACTTTTTTTGAACATAGAACCCTCCCCCCAAAAAGCCAGTCCTACATAGAAAAGTAATGAGTTTTAGATCTATTAGTATTCATGAATTTGAAATGTCCTCTGCAGAATTAATGAGCTATTTGCTTTAGGAAATGCAAATTCTAGTGAATGTAAAATGTTAATCTATATGATAATTGCTGTTACTGAGCATATTTAGAGGCAAAGCAAACAATCCAAGTTCCTCATTTGCAATAGCTAATAGTTCTCAACAAATTTTAAAATTTTATACATATAATCACCTACTCACTTGAAGTTATAATGATCACATTAAAAGCCTGTACATGTCAGATTGAACACATAGCTGGAACTCACCTGCCAAAGAAAAACAACCATTTCCCCTCCTACTGGAATCGATGTTAGAAGATAGGGATAACTTAGAAATGAGACAATTATGAAATAGTCTGACAATAAAAGCAAACATAAAAAATTTTTAAAAGTAGTACTTACTTGTCAACATTATCCCCAAATGCAAAATCTAAAAATAAAATTCTAAATTAGTATTTTTCAAACATTTGGTCAGCACTCAAAAGTAATGAGACACTGTTAGATGTCTTTTCAAGTAAACTGACAAAAATATCTAAAATATAACAAAATATATAACTAGTATGAAGTTGAACTTTTCCCTTAGGTAAGGCATTTTGCTTTAGGCTTTGGGGCAGTCTTTAATATAAGGCTAATCTCAGAACCCTGAAAATAATATTCTGAATCAGCTTAGCTGCCAATAGAGTGCAGTTAGAATCTTTTGTAAACAAGGTTCATAGACGGAAAGAAAGAACCCCCTTTTTCTTCTGATGAGTACGAGCTTCTGTAAGAGAATACTCAGGACAAGTATTTAGGGCCATCTCAGCCATTTGGACTCTTGGCATGAACTTCAAAGAAAGAACAAATCCAAGATCACAAGACTCTATGTTCCAAAGCTTTAGCGCTGAAGGGCCAGACCTCAAGCCTGGAGCTCTTGGGGTACCTCCCAGTCTACTAGGGCCTTGTTTACTCCTCTCTAGAAGGCCTGGTACCACGCCAAAGACAGAACTTTCCTGCACCTGTCGGGGCACTAAAGCCTTCCACGTATGTTCTTGTCAGTCCTCAAGAGAGGACACAGCCAAGAGCTTGTGTGGCACCATGCCTTTCACAAGGGGCCGCCCAAGTCTCCTGGCCTTTGGTCTCCTCAGACTCTTTTCCTCTCTCTCCCCACAGTGCTATTGAGATATAATTGAACATTAGCAATTATACACATTTGTGGCGTGCTACAAGATGTTTGGGTGTGCACGAGCACACACACGCAATGTGAATCGGCAGTTACTGTTCACGTTGGGCATCTCACACAGGTACCATTTTCTTTTTGGGTATGTAGATGGTGAGTATGTTTAGGTTCCCCCCTTTCTAGCAGATAGTTAGCCACAGTTACATTAGGTGATCAGAATTTGGTCATCACAAACAGTTGGGACTCTTTGACCCGGATCTCCTCATCTCTCCCTCTGACCAGCAAAGACACAAAGGTCTAAGAGGGATCTTCCCATTCAGTGAGACCATAGAGC